ACATTTGGAGCCGCGATCGAGCATAATAAAGGGATACATCATTCCCTTTTTTCCTTTTTTTCACCCACTGAATCATTCCGCGAAATAGGGGATCCCAGTAATACTGAGAAGATATTTTCGGACCGGAATCCACCTTTTTTATTATTTCTTTCTTTTCTGATATTCCCCTTTTGAATCGAATCCACTGTTGCAGTTCAATCGAATCCAGAAAAAACGGACCCCACACCCAGAATCCCTCCCGTGACGTCCGCCCGGCTGTTAGTGACACAACCCGCCCCTCCCTTTTGCCCAAGCAGTTGATTGAAACATCATTAAGCTCTCTCCACGCAACGATCGGCTGAGGGCTAGTGCTGCCCTGTTCCCCTCGTTCCTACTACCTCTACCCTGTTTTCTTCTTTATTATTGTCATCAGGGTATTTCCGTATTTCCCCCCCTCCTTTTTATTTCTTACCAAAGTTCCTGCTATTTCCGGTAGGCTGCGGGCTGTGTGTTGTCTCGAGAAAAAGAGGTCTCGACATCCCATCTCGAGGCCTACCTTTTTTTCGCGTCAGCACATAATACCGGCTTGCCACGGGCAGAAACGCTTTCACCACGCCTCCCCTCACGAGAAAGAGGAAGGCGGCCGCGGCGACGCTTGTAGATAACAAACCCAAAACAGCCGCCACCAAGGCTTCCGTCGCCCTTTCGCCTGCCGCCACCGCAACCTCCTCTTCGGCCCAATCCTCCCGCAAAAAGCAGAAGCCCGCGGTCCAGGACCCTGACTCTGATTATACCATAGCGACTCCTGGTAGCTTTTCGGTTCCCGTGCGATCGAAGGAGGAGGAGGAGGATATCGATACTCCGGCGTCTACCAGCATGGAGTCGGATGAGGACTTCATGAGTGTCGGGTCGAGCCCGGATGATTTCCTGGATACCCAAGGAAGTGATGTCGAGAGTCTTGGGGAAGGTTAGTGATCGGGTTGACTACTTTTCTTTGGTTAGATGGTCATGCTGACGAAATCCTTCTTGCTTACTGTACAGACTTCGGCGACGATTTCGACGGCGGATTCTCTAAAGATAAGGATATCATCGCGACGAAACGAAAGCCTTATGAGGTTGAGTTTACTGTTTTGAGCCCGGAGGACATCGATCGTGAACAGAACCTGCAGATTAACGAGGTCTCCTCGATCCTTGGCCTGCCCCCGGAGTCGTCGGCTATTCTGCTGCGCTATGGACGATGGAATCGGGAGAAGTTGATCGAGTCATACATGGATCATCCCGAGAAGACGCTGGAGGAGGCAGGCCTCGGCACCAACTTTGATGGAACGCCAAAGACTGAAGTGATACCAGGGTTCGTGTGCGACATCTGCTGCGAGGACGGGGACGACCTTGAGACATATGCCATGCGTTGCGGGCACCGCTTCTGTGTGGATTGCTATCGTCATTATCTGAGACAGAAGATCCGGGAGGAGGGTGAAGCAGCGAGGATAGAATGCCCGAGTGATAGCTGCAATATGATTGTGGACTCAAAGTCATTAGGTCTTCTGGTGACAAACGATCTCAAGGAGAGGTGAGAATTGCAGCATGTCCTTTACTTGCCCTGTTACTGACGCTTTTCAGATACCACGCGCTTCTTACACGAACATACGTCGATGATAAAGACAACCTCAAATGGTGCCCGGCGCCCAACTGTGAATACGCGGTTGACTGTCCTATAAAGCAGCGTGATCTTCGTCGTGTCGTACCCACTGTACAGTGCGACTGTAGGCACTATTTCTGCTTTGGGTGCACACTAAATGACCACCAGCCAGCACCCTGCACGCTGGTGAAAATGTGGCTCAAGAAGTGCGAAGATGATTCCGAGACGGCGAACTGGATCTCTGCCAACACCAAGGAGTGTCCCCGATGCCACTCAACGATCGAAAAAAATGGTGGATGCAACCACATGACGTGTCGCAAGTGCAAGCACGAATTCTGCTGGATGTGCATGGGACTGTGGTCTGAACATGGCACTAGCTGGTATAACTGCAACCGCTACGAGGAGAAATCTGGATCAGATGCCCGAAGTGCGCAGGCGCGATCCCGGGCGTCGCTGGAGCGATATCTCCACTACTATAACCGCTATGCCAACCATGAACAGTCCGCCAAGCTGGACAAAGATTTGTATCTTAAGACGGAGAAGAAGATGACGAGCCTGCAGTCGCAGTCTGGACTCTCATGGATCGAGGTGCAGTTCCTCGATACCGCATCGCAGGCACTACAGCAATGTCGCCAGACGCTGAAGTGGACATATGCCTTTGCCTACTACCTCGCCCGCAACAATTTGACGGAGATCTTCGAAGATAACCAGAAGGATCTGGAAATGGCGGTGGAGAGCCTGAGTGAGATGTTTGAAAAGCCCGTACCGGAGCTGGCGAATTTGAAGGTCGACATCCTGGACAAGACGGCGTACTGTAACAAGCGCCGGGTGATCCTCCTCAGCGATACTGCAGAGAACTTGAAAAACGGTATGTCCCTTGTGAGTTTGATAGACATTTCTGTATACTGACATGCAATTTCCAGGGGAATGGTCCTTCAACGTGGAATGGTAGACTACAGTATATAGAATGATCGAACTTACATCCTGTTGAGGCGCCACCCTCCCCCACTACTTCCTCAGCCGGTGGACGAGCTTCACGACGTGCATGACGACAGCGCATATGGTTTCTATCTATCTAAACAACTCTCTCTCTCACACTCCGGCGTCCCTGATGTTTTCCTGGATGGTTCGTTATTCGTATGTATCAACTACTTCTGGGCGATTTCTGTGCTGTACTTGTCATATATTTCTTCTTCCACATCTTATTCCTCGAAACATATTAGTCAGGGGACTAGTACTACCTGAGTTTGACATTTCCATATTCAACGCCTCGAAGAGGGGAGGGATGTATTTGAGAGGCATGCACATGATGTGAACAGACTGAGCCGGGTGGGTAGGTGTCTAAAATTGACAAGTTGTGGGAGATTGTATGAAGAGAGAATGTCCGAGTAGGTAGATGCCTTATACGGAGGATTAAAGTTAACAACTATTACAACTGACAAGGTATCTATACTTATGCACCAGCTAGTCAAATTAGCCATAGAATGGAAATCTCGGTACTGGTGGAGAGAATGAAGAACTGCGAAAGTTGTACACAGAGTAAACCTCCTACACTGATTGATCCCACGTAGCAAGTCATTCAGTCAGACAGCGATGATCCACTAGATACTAGTTTACTAGCCAGTTACCTTAACTTATCTAGTAAGTAGTAGTAGTGCCAAACGCCAAATGCCAAATCCCCAACAGTCAACGGCGCCAACTAGATGACTTACTCGGCCTCAGCCCTTTCAGGCCTTGCTTTGCATTACAGTATCCCCGAGCCAGACATATACTATCCTATTGAAAAGTAAAATAATGAAAAAGAGAGGCATATCCATAAAAGGAACTTAACCCCGAGCCAGCACCCCAAAAAACAACCCGTGGCGAAAAATAGTAATAATAGAGGGAAATTTCATTATTCTAGAATATGTCCAAAAGAAGTTGGATAGTGGAAAGTGGAAAGTGTTAATCAATCAGATAAGCCAAACCGAGCCCGGCCCACCCCAAAACCAAAAGGAAAGGGAGAAAAAAAGAGATCATCTGCACAGGCTGGCATGCGGCGCCGCGGTGTGCCGTGCCGAAGTTTTGTGACTGATTGATTGATTGATTGATTGATTAAATGGATTCCTCCGTGCTTCGGCGGTTTGCTTACTTAGTCTCCATCTACCTGACTAACTACGGAGTAAAGCAATAGTCTGTTCGCTTCGTGCCGGGGAAAGAAGAAGGAGAAAGGATTTTTTTTCCCAGGTGATTAGATTAAGTAATAGATTTGATTGATGCTTTTTATGGGAAATTACCGGTTTAATGTCGCTGGATTTTTTTTATGCTGAATGGATGGATCGGGGCGAAAAAGAATTCATTATTCATTATTCAAGAGTACTTCGGAGTAGTCGGTTGGGTTATGGAGATGGATGGGGCTCCGTCATCGGATCTGTCGTAGTTAGTCAGTTTTGCCTAGGTACTTTGGAGGTTCGTTAGTAAGGTAAATTGTCTAGAGGCAGTCTAGGTCGGGGATGCTGATTCAGCAGGTAGATAGTCAGTCTGTGTGTGTGTGCCTGTGTGTCTGTGTGCATGGCAAATGGCAAAAAAAGAAAAAATGGAAATTTTTGGGTAGTTCCGAGGAACACGTTTAGTAGGTAAGATAGATAATAATAATGTTTAGTTATCATGCGGAGGATAGGCAAATAGTGGGTGGAAATTGGGTAAGGATAAATTGGGGAGAAGCGGGCTAGAAAACACAAGGAATCAGGATGGAAGGAAGGGAAGGGAAGGGAAGGGGAGGCAAGGCTGGATTTTATCAATCTCTCCATCAAATTAATTTTACCGAAGGGACGAACTGGTGAAAGTTCTCCCTCAATATATTTACCTGTGACTATCTTACCTACTATCTATCTATCTACTACTTACTTGGGAGTAGTTTAGTTATGAGAAAGCTGAACTAAGTTAACTAACAAATAAATTACTGCTGCTCCGGGCGGGACTGTTGTGCATACTGACTGATACATCGTCAATACCACTGCAACAGCTGCATCCTCGCGGGGATTCGGCCCGGTGAAACAGGTTGAAACCACCTCCGAACGGTATTAATGACCCGGGACTTGCTTTGCTCCTTTAGTTCACCTTCAGCAGCAAGAAATTCCCGACTGTCCAGAAAGATTATTATTTCCTATCTTTCGCCAGTCCGTCCTCTGCTCTCCTCTTCTCACCTTTCTCCTCTACTCCCCTCCCTCTGAGGCATTGAATAACTTCTTCCTCCTCGTCTTGTAATCGGGCTGATTCTACCTTCTCCTCTCCTCGCCTCCCCTCCGTCTCGCTCCCTCCCCTTCCGCCCGATATTCTTCCTCTCGGAGTCCAGCTTCCTCTCCGCTCCGCAAGTCCGTTTTTCTGCGTCGGCATTTCCATCCTCGACCAAGTACCTCCACACTCCCAAGCTCGACCATCCCCCCCGAGCTGTCTGATATTCGATTCTTCTTCTGAAGAATTTAAAATCGCCTCTTTCTATAGCGACAGCAGCTGTGATACCAAATCAATCAAGCTCCATGGCGTCTCCCGAGCAGATTCCCGGGCAGGAATACGAGTATGTCGACCGTGTTATTTTCTCCTTTCGTATTCGTGGCGATTTCGCTTGTTCGCGCAAGGCTATCTGCAGGGACTATCTCGTCAGCAGATATTACCTGCGATTGACTGCGCTGTCCGAATTATTGCATTTTCCGGAGCGTTATTTGGAAACGATCTGCTTTCGGTGTTGGAATCCGCAGCTAACCCTCCATTCTGATAATAGCTATGAAGCCCTCCCCTCGAACTACGGCTTAGGCCGGAATATGCTGGCTGGCGCTTTTGCAGGAATAGCAGTATGTGGAAAACACCGTGGTGAATTAGTGACTGGGTTCCGGTGGTTGTGCTAATGGGTGCCTGGCTGTTCTAGGAACACTCTGTTATGTATCCGGTCGACTTGCTGAAGGTACGTTGATGCTTGTAGGGGAGGTTTGAGATGGGTTGGAGGTGCTGGAGATTGATCGCTTCATCTCTTCTGTTGGACTTTGCGGGTGCGGTGGGCTAATGGTGGGGTTCGTACAGACACGCATGCAAATCCTGCATCCCTCGAACGGCGGGCTCTACACAGGCTTGACTAATGCGGTTTCGACCATCTACCGGATTGAAGGCTGGAGGACGCTATGGAAGGGCGTCTCGAGTGTTATTGTTGGTGCTGGTGAGTGCGACAATTCCGGGCGCGCCGTTGTGGGTGCTATCGCGGTGGAGGTTGACTTGGTGAATTTCTAGGTCCGGCTCATGCCGTTTACTTTGGTACATACGAGGTTGTTAAGGAGATGGCCGGTGGAAACGTGGACGATGGGCATCACCCCGTAGCAGCTGGTAGGTTTGGGTGTTTCGCTTGGAGGTGCGATGATTTTGGTGCAATTGCTGACGATGCCAAGCGCTGAGCGGTGCGTCCGCAACCATTGCTAGCGACGCCTTGATGAACCCCTTCGATGGTGAGTACTGCGCCATTTGCGCTCCATCCTTCTTAGTCTGTTTTTGGGGTGTTGGCTAACTGAAGCAGTCATCAAGCAACGCATGCAGGTCCATGGCTCGGTACACAAGAGTATCCTTCAATGCGCCCGCTCCGTCTACAAGACAGAGGGTCTCCAGGCGTTCTACGTATCCTATCCCACTACGCTTTGCATGACGGTGCCTTTCACCGCCACTCAGTTTGTCGCCTACGAGTCCATCTCCAAGGTCATGAACCCGTCGCAGGATTACGACCCGTTCACGCACTGCATGGCGGGAGGTCTGGCGGGTGCATTCGCCGCCGGTATCACCACCCCGCTTGACGTTGTAAAGACGCTGCTGCAGACCCGAGGGCTGGCCCAGAACGAGGAGATCCGGTCGGCCAAGGGTCTGTTCAACGCTGCGGCCATTATCAAGCGGCAGTTTGGCTGGAAGGGATTCCTGCGTGGCGCTCGCCCCCGCATTATTTCTACCATGCCCAGCACTGCCATTTGCTGGTGAGTTTCCTTGCAACTTCCGACGGACCCATTGCAAAATTACCCCCGACGCTTGCGCATTGAAAACGGTTGCTGACGCGATCCTACAGGACCTCGTATGAGATGGCCAAGGCCTACTTCAAGGGCCAGGTGGACAGCTAGATGCAAGCACGGCTTTAGCTAACGACCCGATCGCATGAATCCGACACAATCCAGCTCAGCGACCCTTTTTGACCTCTGGTTCCGACCTGACTCGTCCGCGGACCCAAGAAAAAAAAGACCCATTCCCCAAGAAACCATTAGTCACATGAATAGGAAGAAAGCCCGACGAAAAGCAAAACCGAAAAAAGAAAAGAAACGAAACGAAAGAAAAAAGATAGTCTTGTTGAACAAGCAGTCAAAAACAGAACAAAACAAAATCTTCGTCCTTTGCGAGCATCACGTGCGCAGGACGGACCCGATCGAGCGCTGCAGGCTGAAATGAGCTCAACTGAGCTACGGGCGGGTTGAAGCTTTCTGCAGCTATCATCCCCTTCTCCTTGACCTCCTCTTCCTTTCTCCCTTCCTCTTCTTTCTCCGTCCGCTCTTGTTCTCGTTCGTCGGGGGGATTGCGCCAACTGCCGAGGCTTTCGGACTTAATTAACGCAAGCCCGGGCGATCACGAAATAGAGAACGGACCAGGAAAGAAGGAGGGATCCTTGACCGACTCCGAATGGGGAACCTTAACCTTCTGACGTGTATTTATCTGTTATGAACGGGGTGCTGATGGCTGGGCTTGATGGACGATGAATTCAGGCCTCCCGGGATGTTGGTGAGTGCTGCTTGTTCGTTATTATTGTTTTGAGTGCTTGGATCTGGGCCCTGAGCATAAAAAGAAGGGCCCGGCGTATGTTTCAATTCGTGCTTCAATCGCGTTACTACTGGCGTTGGCATGCAGGGGAACATCTGGACGAGTTTCCTATATGTTTTTCACTTCTTCTGGTTGATCCTCGAGTTGCATTTTTATAAGTAGTTCTGGTTGGACGTCTTTCTTTTTTTTTGTGCCCCCAAATTTTAATGTTCGGATACAACTTTGCGCATCTGTCGGGTTGGATGCGGATGTTTCTGTATGTACGCTATAGAGGACCGGGATGACCATACTATCTATCTACCTATCTACCTACACCTATCCATGGCTCTTTTTGTGTGCATGAATCAGCTTCCGAGACACGGTGAGACATGATTTGAATGGAATAAATGAAGTTGTAGGGACTCTGGGGGGTCTCGAGGGGCGATTCCCAAGCAAAACCGCATGGCCGCCAAAGCCGGTAACCAACGACGTCACGCAGAAAACTGGGGAGGGCAAAACCGCCGCCGGATTCTGTCGTTCTGCTGCTGCTTCTCTTTCCTTGCTTCTTTCTGGCACTTTTCTTTTCCTCGTTACTTATTACTTCTTACTTCTTCTTTCTTAACGTTCCCTCCCATGCTTGAGAGTGTTTCTATCTTCCTGTCATTCAATTGATCGCATACTCTCGTTCCTTCTATCCCTCTCCCTCCTCTTCCTCTTCTCCTCTTCCTCTCCCCTCATCTTCCATCCTCATCCTTATCCTCTCATCTTGCGGGCGGGTCCTGCACATTCCGCCTTTTCCCCAGCGCTGGATGCATGATGCGCCCCAAGCCGGCGTCTTCGCTCCAGAAGACCTACGATGACTGCTACCTGATGTGCTCCACTGCCGTCTACTTTGAAGGCCAGGTTCGTGACTTACCAATGCTACCTTCCACTACTTCCCCCCCTTCATTCCTCCTTTGCCATCTCACAGACCCCCCATCTCCCTTCCACACTAATACTTACCTGCCCCGATCGGCAAAAACAGCAAAATGAAGAGGAAGCCCTGAGATCTTGGCGCTCCGCCCTGGAAACGATCTACTATCACAACGCTTATCGTGTCCCCTCCAAGTACACTCCCAAAAACGAGACCGAACGTGCCCTTCAAGAGTCCATCCGCCAGCTCGAGCTTCAATGCCGCGAGCGGGTCGATCTCCTGCAGGCCCTCCGCGAAAGCAGAAAGGATTCCGCCGGTCGATCGCCTCCTCGAACCACTCCGGGCTGGATTGGTGACGGCACCGTCCCCGCGGTCGGATATACCGATCTCTCCAAACCCCCCACTATCCCCGGTCGCCCGCCCCCGACCACCACCGTCAGCTCCGACTCCATCAGGAGCGATCTTCAACCCAGCGCCGCGGCTTCGTCCCGGCCCATCCCCATCCCCGCTCAGCGCACCCAGTCGCATTCCTCGGGCAAAACGGACTCCCGCACCCCCAGTCCCGAGCGCCGGAAGATCATGCCGTTCACCCTGCGTACCAGTGATTTCAAGAAATTGGGCAAGAAGAAAGACACCTCCCGACGGAGAGAGCTGCGGCCGGCCGCAGCTTCTCAGGCCGCTGGGCTGGCCTGGGGGAGTATCTACAACACTCCCTCTTCGCCCGACAAGACTGCCAGCGATGCCGCTCTCGCGTCCTCCCGCCAGAGCGCCTCCAATGACCCCAGCTTTCGAAGGGAGCCGGCACCCCTTCGCGCCCATTCTGGAGATGGGCATGTCCCGCGGAAAGCATCGAATCCACCAACAGACGATCCAGATAGCCGTCGCACCGGACGAAAGCCCCGCGTGTCGGACCAGCCTGTCCGGCGGTCGCCTGCGAAGAAGTCGGCATCGAGCACTCCTTCGACGACACCGACAGTCTCCGCGTCTCGCACCCCAACTGCGGAGAGTCAGCTGCGGTCGTCTGCTCGTTCGCAGTCCGCCTCCGCAGGACCTGATGCGAAAGACGCTGTTCGTTCGCAACCTCCGCCGAAGCCATCTGTTAAGCCCAAGCCGGTAGCATTGAGGTCGGCCAATCCAACTTCATCTTCCCCCCGACGGCCTGTTGAGCCCACGGAGCGCTTAAGCCGGCCACCGACTAAGTCAACATCGCGTCCCCGCCTCGCCCCTACATCATCTACAGAGGATGCATTGGTTCCAGGTTTAGATCGAATGGCGTTATCGGGCAACAGCCCGGTCCGACCAACGCCACAGCTCAAGCGGACCATAACGCCACCGTCGAGTGATCCGGAATCGCTGGGCCCTAAGTCTACCGAGCCAGAGGAGGAAGATGCTGAAGAAGACGAGGACGATATGTATTTGGATATATTGAACAGGCTTCCCAAGGGGGTAGACGTCACTGCTGCTCGGCAGATCCTGAACGATATAGTCGTCCGCGGCGACGAAGTTCATTGGGACGATATAGCAGGTCTAGATGGAGCGAAAAAGGCGCTCAAAGAAGCCGTGGTCTACCCATTCCTCCGGCCTGATCTCTTCTCCGGTCTACGTGAGCCTGCCCGCGGCATGCTTCTGTTTGGGCCTCCAGGCACAGGCAAGACTATGTTGGCACGCGCAGTCGCTACGGAATCTAAGTCGACCTTCTTCTCCGTCTCCGCATCGACCTTGACTTCCAAATGGCATGGTGAGAGCGAGAAGCTCGTGCGTGCTCTATTCGGACTCGCCAAGGCCCTCGCTCCATCCATCATCTTCGTCGACGAGATCGACTCGTTGCTCTCCGCCCGGTCATCAGGAACCGAGAACGAAGCCTCCCGGCGATCGAAGACGGAGTTTCTCATTCAATGGTCCGACCTGCAGCGGGCAGCAGCCGGTCGCGAGCAAAAGGACAAGAAAATCGGCGACGCCAGCCGCGTGCTGGTCCTCGCGGCCACAAACATGCCCTGGGATATTGACGAAGCTGCGCGTCGTCGATTCGTGCGTCGACAATACATCCCTCTCCCGGAGCACGACGTTCGCGAACAACAACTACGGAAACTGCTCAGTCACCAGATCCATGAACTTTCCGACGAGGATATCGAAGTTCTGGTTCAAGTCACTGAAGGTAGGCAACATCTGCAACTCCCCCTACATGTATACAATGAATACAGAAACTAACAGCTATATGGACAGGCTTCTCAGGCTCCGACATGACCGCCCTCGCCAAAGACGCAGCCATGGGTCCCCTCCGTAACCTAGGCGAAGCGCTCCTGCACACCCCTATGGACCAGATCCGGCCAATACGGTTTCAGGACTTCCAGGCGAGCTTACTTTCTATCCGTCCTAGTGTGAGCAGGGAAGGGTTACAAGAATACGAAGAATGGGCTAGACAGTTTGGAGAGCGGGGAGGATAATCCTTTGGCTGTTCTAGCCTTAATGTCACGGCTATATTTTGCTCGTCATTTTTCTGGCGTACCCGGCTGCAATGGGATACATGGTGTGCCAGGACAGGGGTAGGTTTATGTCTCATGTTGGATAACGATACGCTATGGTATGGGTATGATATGATATTTTTTTTGGTTCGGACGGGGTGTTTTTCTCTTTTTCCTGGGAATGAATGCATTGCTTATGGGTAGGGGTAGGTCAGGTTAGGTCATTGGTTAAGGGGCGCGTGTGTGGATGTCAGCGTTTCATCCAGGTTCCATCGATCAGAAATCAAATCCAAGAAATCAAAATTCAAAGCTCGATGCAATGCAATGCAACCAATCGGTAGACTACGAATTGCAACTGAAGTAATGTTTCATCATCTATTTCCCCTCTTCTCATCCAGAACCAAGTATCAAAGAGGAGAGAGGAAAGGGGAGGGGGTAAATGATGTAGATAATGCAACACAGGGATGTAACATACAATTCCCATTATAACATCACCACTCAACTTCTTAGTAAGTAGTAATAGTAGTTAGTAGTAAATGATCTATATACCTACCTAATATTAAAGTAATTCATTATTAACATTACCAACCAAAAAAATATAACTAAGTAATTGAAACATGAACTACAATATTATACTTACCTGGTTCCTGGATGATATTTTTGATTTCGATATAATGATCCAGTAGTTAGTACTAGTAGGAACAATTGACAAGTTTACTAAACTACTTACTTACTTACTTACCTTAAGCCCGTCTACTAGTTTCAATTAAATTATCTACCGATTTCAAAACAATACTACTTACTTACTACCTTGCTTGCTAAATATCCTATGATGTTTTAAAGATAACTACTAAGTACTAAGTAGTAACTATTTAGTAGCTGGAACTAGTTTTTAAGGTCCATTACTTTGAGTTGGGAATTGTGTAAGGGAACTAAGTAAGTACTAACTAACTAACTAATTAACTAACTAGTAATATTTATTAATATGTATTTGGATTCAACTACTTATTACTACCAGTACTAACTGACTTAGCTAAGTAGTAGCAGTAGTAGTAGAGATGATCGATTTGTAGTATAGCGTAATTTTAGTACTGAAGTAAGTAGTATAATTCCACGTCAGATTAGGTTCTGCTAAGAAAGCAATCAAAGCCAGTCAACAAACAGATAAGAACAATACTATTACTAGTAGTAGTCAGATTTCCATCATAATATATATCCATTCAAATCTAACCTAAGCTATGCTAACCT